TAATTACAGCATACGTACCACACATCGCAGCTTAATTTCCATTAATAATAAAATCATCATTTAGTCAGAAATATTCTCGCAATTAAAAAAGTTTCCATATTCTTATTACCCAGAACGGTACGGTATATTTATTTAAAAGGAGGCTAGCTGTGGAACCCCTTTCAAAAAATCCTGGATCCACCTCTGAGTTGAACTAACATACGGTTTCATTCACCTTACATGTGGATGCATGGCTCCCAAAAACAACCAATTGTACAACATGACAGAGCTCTGAAACATCTAAGTTTCATTATTTGTGTGTAAAAATTGCCCATGTCACCCTGTTAGTTTGGAGGGGTAAGCTGGGTCAAGTCCGTGTCAAAATTATTTGAAGCTTTGCAGGAAAAATTCTTCCTTTGTTTCTACATGTATAGCTCCTTCTTGAACCTGGTGTCCGGATTTTATCTAGTGCCCCCAGGGTTGCGGGAGCTGCTCTTTGAAAATAACACTCAGGCAGATTTTTACCTGAGATAAATATCGCCAGTGAGATGTGTTCAATATATTCTCAAGAAAGAGGGTACAGAAGAGTTGAGGGCCACTGAACCCTCCAATTAAGAGGTAAAAAAAGTTCCAGTTAGATTGACGATTAAGATAGGACTTGTTAAGGTTACAGGCATTGTTTACCTCAGTTTGCAAGACGGGGAGGGGGGGTCAGAACAATTGTGCCTATACAATTGATACAGAGGATTTGTACATATAGGTGACTTTAATAAGCAGAGGATTTTCTTTTATATTCCGTGAAAAATACACTAAATTTATATAAAATAATATCATGGTTGGCCAAAAAATTGTACGCACAGTGCATCCGTGTGTATGCCTAGTTACGCCCATGAGTAATGGTTTATTCATACTCATATGTAGATATCTCTGTGTGTCTGCTTAATTAGAAAAAGTGTGCGGTCCCTATAAACAGTGTACAGGGAAGTTACATGTACATTTTAGTATGCATATCAATAAATATGTGAATATAAAAAACTGGCACTTTTGCAGTACCCCCCCCCCCTCCACCACCACCACCACCACCACCATAGCAACAGTGTTATTCCGGGTCACTACCAGTCGATGTAAAGAGTATCAAAATACTATGTCACATTGGAATTGTCGAAATATACAGACATAAATGCGTCGTGTTTAATCATGGACAACTTTTTTTATTTAATGCCATGTCTTTTACTGTAATTACTTAAGACGCGGGCCAGTCGTTACAAATTAGATCTAAATCAAACGAAAACCACTTGTATTTCTTGATTACGGCTTATTTCTCTCTTGGTCAGTATCTTGAATATCATTTATTTATCATGGGAAAAGCACAAATGTGTTAATACATTTTGGCGTTTGACAAACTTACTTTTATTTCTAGGATACAGTTCAGATCTATAGTATCAAATATAGGGCAGGGTCAGATAAAAATGAAAGCATGGAAAGCGGAATCGACGTCGAGAACTCTTACAAACATTCCGAACCCGTAGAGAGAACCACACAACACGATGACATTGGGTTACGTTCCAAGGCAAAATGCTTCTGTGGATTCTTAATATTCAACCTAATTCTCACCACAGTCATTTTGGTGTTAGTTATAGGTGAACATACCCTCTCTCTTCCTCTCATGCTATAAATCAACTTTTTTGTGCTCCTGTATCTGAGACAAATTAATATTTTTAATAAAATATTTATGTAGTAAAAAAACATTCTTAAAAATTCTATTCTGTCAGCGTCTGTCACATGCACAACTGTTATATACCTTTCGTACATATTTCATAAGTATTTTGGAGCAGCACGTATGTTACCAGAGAAGCAGCAAAGCCAAGTGACCTCCCCACTACTAATATAGGTGAGCAGTTTTCATTGTTATAGGTCCTTCAACTCAATCAAGGTTTATATTCTTTTTTAAATTTGTTTATTAATTATTCTTAAAAACAAACTTTTATCCATGTGGTTACGATGTGCGCGATATCATTTTTCTACTTTCCTAACTTATTTTCATAGATTCATTTTACTTTTCCCGACAAACTCTATTTGTGTTAACGTTTCTACTAGCCACGACTCCTTCATCTGCCTCAACCCAAGAACAACTGCAGGCGCTGATTGGTAGCGAGCCCCAGGTAGAGGTCCGAACATTTACTAACTGGGCGGAAAGCCAGGTCGTTGCTGACGTTCTCTTCGTGGCGCCGACTTCTTTACTCCACGTGCAGCAGGTAGCTAGCTACATGTGTACGCTTTATGTTGTGCATTACTATCAACTCAACATACATATGTGCACAATTGGTTTTTAGACATTCACGTACTGTATATCTTAAATTACTTAAAGTATGCAGGATAACATTAAAATGTTACCAAATCAGCAGAGAAAATAAACCACTGATGGCAAAAGTGTAATTTCCCAGGTTATAAGAGCAGCTAGGAAACTGGGATTGCGTATCCGCGCAGTAGGAGCGGGCTACTCCTGGAGCCCACTGTTTGCCGATCCAGGTCACATCTTGATGAGCACCCTTAACATGACACGACATGATGGGCCACTCCTGGAGCTCAACCCACCGGTTAGGAAAACAATATTGCTGACTTTTTCAAAAAAATAAATAACATACTTTTTATATGAATCATAAAAATGTTCGATGTACAAACGGATAAATGAAATAAAATATTCAAAGTACAAATGGATAAATAAAATAAAATCACATAATTCTGTTTTTAATGCTTTTGGGGCAGTTAATCGATTTTGTAAGCTGATAATTAGCTTGTCAAAAATACGCAGCATTTTGAACAAAATAGTTGCAAGGTGACCCTTCAAATACCTCACTTCACTGCCACGGAAAATACTTAACAGGATAACAGGTGAAATGTAGTTTTTTCAAAGATATTATCATTGTTACTTGTATGGATACAATGATAATTCTAGTGTAATGCTGAAGTTCACAGAAAAATTTCATGAATATTTCAGAACCACTGGCAAGGTCATACCTCCGTCACAGTTTCTACCAGCGTCCGGTTCTTTGACTTCGACAACTTCCTGATCAGCCACAATCTGACCCAGCTAACCGGGCCTGGGTCCATCTCGCCGACCGTAGTGGGCTCACTGTGCACCTCCTCACACGTAGGTTGTCTTTAGTCTGGTCAGTGGCAGTGAACCACGTAAACTGTCCATGTATTAGCTACTCTGCACATTCTGAAACCAGGCACCGGCATTGCGCATTTGGATCAGTATCATGAATCATTATCACATGGCTTTTACAAAACTTTCTGTGCCAAAGCTATTAATTTCCAAATAAGTTAAAACCATTGCGCAGTGTGGAGTTATATCCGATTCCAATGTTTTTTTTTTTTTCTGTTGTCGTGACAAAAGTACTGAAAGTGATAGGCTCAAAATCGTGGTTGCTATAAACTGATCAAACTTAAACATTCATATTATGAGACCCTTGAAATGTGTTTGAATGTTGTGTTGTTACAAAAAATGACTTTTTTGGTGAAGTTTTCCTATTTGCGTTGTCATGGTAGCGGGTCTGGCCCTGGCCTGGGCCCAACCACCAGGGACTTAAAAGCAATTGTTACCACTGAAAGTTTGAGGTGTAAGCCAACGTAATAAAAGAGTAAACGACAGGACTTACTGTGGAGACCAGCTGGGTCCAAACAACAGTTTGCACTATAATTTTAGTATATTATTAGATCAAAATATTGCATCTTTGTAATAGTTGCATTGTTAGTTTCTATTGACAAATACACATACACATATGAAAACGTTAAAAGTATTTTCCCCTTTTAGGGAAGTGGATCTCACTATCCAATAGAGAATAATTTCATCGTTGCCATGAGAGTAATCAACAGTGAAGGAGAACTTAAGTCCTATAATGTGTATCACCACAAAGAGGCTATGCGCGCACTGGTGGCTTGTCTGGGAATGTGCGGGATTATATATGACGTCACAATCACGGTATGTTGTCATTTACATTTGTCCTCTTGAAAAGAACTGTTTACCATAAATATTCGACGCAGGCGGACTCCTTATTTATCCCCACACACCTGCACCCCGATGTCTGTGTGCGCGTGCATGTGCACATGTCGAGGATGGTGTAATTTCTGTTTTATATATATCAGTGTTTCATCAACCATTAACCAGTTTTTGGCCAACATGAAAAAGTTACCTCCCCCCGTGCTTTGGTAATGTAACACTTAACCATGATTCCCCTTAGCGAAATATCAGACCTGCTGCAAAGTTGTAGCAAATTTGCAGCAAATTGCAATTCCTTCTTGCAAATTAGCAGCAAGTTTGCTGCAATATAGCTGCAAATTAGCAGCAAGAATTTTTTTCTTGCAAACTCCTGCAAACTCGTTGCTGCAAACTTCATTTTGCTAAGGTCATACCGCTTTTATTTATTTTTTTATTTTTCACTGTATTAAAGTTATTTATTCACAGATGATGAAATGATGTTTATTTACTTTTACTGTAATGTAATATAGGCTGGTGGCCTAAGTTTACGTAAATAAACATCATTTCATATAGTTAAAAGAAAATCCAAAATCTGTTAATAAATAACTTTAGTACAGTGAATACCGCTTTTAGAACGTCTTCATCTGAAATAAGTTTTAGGCATTCTTCGTAATAATTCTTCTTGTTAGTTCTTTTATTTATTCAATTTAGATTAAACACAATAAACCTCATGACACACAGAGCAAGGGGGCTGTTGAACAATTCAGTTGCTTTAATCTATACACATATATATATATAGGTATATCCGATCAGGATTGTAGCAGGCTATAACAAATGGGCAACCGTGGAGGAAAGTCTGTATAACAGCACGGCACTGCTGCAGGAGTTAAGTGATGAAACCAACATGTTTGTATTTTTTTACTGGGCACCACTGACGTCAGCAACAGAATCGGAAATGACATATTTCAATGACCGTGGTCACATGCCAACAACGTGGAAGGCAGAGAAAGATCATGTATGGATAAAGTATGTATGTTTTATTGTTACTAATAGTGATAAAGACGCAACTGTGAATAAGTCTGTACTCTGTATACTTACATGAGCTTTATGTCGGATTTCGTATTTAATTCGACATTTATTCCATTTGATTCACAAAATATGAGAAGCTACTATTTATAGTTAAATGTTGATGCAAGATGATGAAAATTACTCCATGTAATGGAGGAACAAAATATTGTTTTTTTATATACAAACCACAAAATGTACATATGTAAGAAAAATAAAAGCAAATCAAGAAAAAAGCATCTGAATGAAAAGAATGAAATTGAATTAGGGCCGCAAGATTTAGGAATGCAAGGCCTTTATTAGGAAGAACAAAAAAACGCCAGTTAGTTGATATTAGTGAGATGGCTGAACAGAGTGAAAAGACGTATAAATATATATTATTCAATAGTATTCCAAAGTCACATTAAAAAAAAAACATTCAAAATTTAGAATCGCAGTATTGTATCTTTATGCATGACCAGAAAGATATCATTAGAAGATTAGGGTTTTTTTAATCTATATATTCAGATGCATGCTTGATTATAACATTAAGAAATTTTGGACTTGACCTGAACATTGGGCTTGAGGGATAAAGAATACAATCACCTTAAGTAGCCAAGCTGAGTTCCATGCTCTAGAAGGTGGAGTCTTAAAGAAAACGAAATATATACAATAGGATACCCGTCACATGTGATTTCTAAAAAAACAAAACAAAACAAAACAAAACAAAAAAATAGGGAGGGAAGACTGTTGAACAACTCGATTCCTTAAATCTAATTAGTATTTTTACATTATGGTCAAATATTACAGAACTCTGAAGCCGCTGTCTGCTGAGGAGGGCAGCAAGGTGAATGTGACCCGGTACAACACAGTGCGGCCACTACACCACACTGTCAGACCGCAGCGGGAGGGGAAAAATTTCACCCACACAGATACCAAGGTGGGCACATAGGATGTTTTGGGCTAAAACAATGGTTTGGTAACTCATATCAAAGATAAATGGCAACTCATGTCATAACATTTGAAAATTAACGTGTATATTTTAATTATGCGCATCTAAACAGAGTTTTTTATTTTACGTAATTACAGTCAGATTTAATGTAAGGAAAGAAAATGCGCTTTTGAACATTTAACCGCATTTAGGTTAAAGTTGAACGTAGGGATACCGTCAAACATTAGAGACCTTTCTGTATTTTAAAGTAACTCCTGTAATGCGTGTTTGAAATCATTAAAAAAGGAAATACGAAGTCTTCTGAGAACTATTTTATCCAGGTGTAATATTCCAGAGTATATCCCAGTGAATAAACAATAAACAGCCATATGACAAACTATTGTATACTCGAGAAAGTAAATAACCTAGCTGTGGCTAATTTAAACAGTATTATGATTGGATGATCAATCTGTTATCGAGACGTGATAAATGTTGCCCATCGTCTATAATAAACCGGTCACAAACCGAGAATATTCTCCCCGCTGAACCACAGCGGGCATTCAAATTATCATCTGCCGGCCAATATAAAATAGACATGCTGGCCCTATTTTATAAACTCGTTTTGGTTGTAGAATCCCAAGAAAGGGCTTCAATCAACTGCAAATATTTTTAGGAGGCCTGAAAAGAACCAGAGTATAATCTAACGAAGGGTTATTTAACCCTAGGTAAAGACGGGACCAAGGGTGTTTTTAGGCCTGTTACACCGGGATATGCTTTTATACCTTCTTTGCATTTTAAAAGATCATTAATACATCCCACTACATGTATGACGTTGAATCGGAAAGACAAAGATCTGTTTATGTAGACCTGCTTTATACTCCATGCAGTAGTCGACTATTCGATCAGAGGTTCTATTTTTGTCTGAATTCAGAGTAATGGTGACTTGGCAAGGATGTTCCTTCCTCCCGGTCCAGATTATTTTTATAGTGTAGAAGGCTACAGACACTCTGACGAAACAATCCAGGCGCTGTTATATTCCACGGAGATTGCCCTAAAAGACAAAGATGATTTTGCAAACACTATCGCTGCGTTGAAGGTGTGTCCAGTTTTTTCTAGCTATATATGTGTTATATCGTTTATGAAGACAACCATACTTAATTAACCTATTTTTGTCATTAAAATAAAAAGTCTGCTTTTGCATACATAGTTGTTTTTTATATTTTAATATCATATGAATATCGTTATTTAGTAAGTCTGTTGATTTTTATCATTTCTTTCACTGTTATGAAATAGATTTTAGCCAGTTTGAATTTAGAATTGATTTTATGTGCCCCAAACGCACAAAAGCTCACCGAAGCTCTGTTTTTGCCCGGAAAGATAAAACCAAACACAACTTTTGATATGGATTTTGTCATTTGTCAAAATGGACAGGTTTAATATTATGATAATGAATATAAACACCAGATAATGGGGTTTAGTAAATACATCACCAAACCTAGACCCAAAACACGTGAAGATACAAAAGAAGGAAAGTAACACACTATAAGCCAACTAGCAATATCAAATATTTGAAAGGCCTGGTATCCTTAATCCTGAAAATTAAACTACATCTGTATGAATTTAATTGCTTTTTGCCAAATGAAAATTATATTGATTTTAGATCATTGTCGCCAAAGCGGAAGAGTACGCTTACGCCTATCCCCATTTCCCTGTGGCCACTGCCTCTGTCCGTGTGGTCAGGGGCAGTGAAGACTGCCTGCTGTGTACCAACAACTACGGCCCCGAGACTACCGGCTACTACGTCTCCTATGTAGAGCTGTTGGCACACGCCTACTCTTATCCATTATACACACAGTTCACAAAAGAGGTTAAGTATAAATAAGAATTTTATGAAAAATTAACTTGAAGTTTTTTTTTACCAGTATCATTGTTATGCAAGTATGTTATGCGTTTATCTATAGAACATGATCTATTTCAATTAGCACTGGTTAAGTAAGGCACTTACACCCAAGAGCTATCGATTGAGAAAGTGCCTTACTATGAAATTACTGGAAAAATTGCTGCTTAAATAATGCAGTTTTCAAATTTATATAGAAACGTTACCGAACTGTTCTGTTTATTTGTAGGTTCTCAAGGAGCTCAAAGATATTCCCTCATCTCGCCCCACGTGGCCCAGATTAATTCAGATGTACGGTAAAGACTTGAGGGAGGAAGTGTGGGACTCGTATCCCGTAGACAAGTTCATTTGTGCAAGGCAGCGGGCACGTCTCGATCCTGATAATATGTTCGTTAATCAGTTCTTAGAAGACATATTTTATAAAGACACGGTGGTGAATTGTACCTAGACGACTGTGCTGTTTTATCAATGCCCACAAAACAATGTTTTAACAATTAAAATGCCCTACCTGGCTGCTGCACTGGGCTTGCGTCCGCTTGGAGAGAGAATTATGTCCACTCTCATCACCTTCAAAGTCGAGGCTTCGGCAATACTGGTTTGTCAACAATAAGTCCGCTGGTTATCAGAAAGTTACCATTTGCTTCTCGCCATTTCATATTTTCTTCACCCTCTAGTCATGGCAAGATATCTGATGATGTGGTATATTCAAATCAACATGGTGGGAAAAACAGACGCCACGAGGGCAATATGGCGATTCTATCACTTCAGATAACATTCCACGTCAAAGTTGAGAGATTCTATCAAAGTACCTGAATGTGTAAATATTTTAATGTTTTATTACAAACTGTACAGGTAGGGCTTGATTTCAAAGGTACATTCTATACTACATTGAAAGAAAATAACTTTGATAATTCACTAATATACGAAGAAATAAACTATTTTCAGCGACAATATTTAAAAAAATCCAATCTTTAAAAATGAAAACAATTTGTCAGTGCAGATCAATGCCGCAAACCATGGATATCCCTTCCCTCTCCTCTCTCGACAAGCAATAACACTAGATACTCTACATGTACAATACAGTTAGACCGTCGACGAAAATTTTCCACACAGGAGGCAAAACAAGCGAGGAAAGTGTAACTTGAGGTTTTTCCTCATCTGATATAGAATATCAAGTCTGAAATGAAGTCATCATCCAACTACCCCAGCTTTATGTACAATAATAGTCTCGTGTCTATAAATACTCAAGCAGAATAAGGCACTTCTTAACTGGAATCATTACGTCAATGTCGGATGAATGTTCAAAAGTTGGGTAGGAAGATTGCAGCGGAGATTGGACTTCGTGTTGGATCAAATGTAAGAACTTGTGAAGATCTTTCTTTAAGGAATGCACAGTAGGGCCTATGTGCAACTTGTATAGAACTTTCTTTAAAGAACATAATATTCAAGATTTAAGGTCGTTAACATTTTGTTAAGTTTATATGTGAAATGTATAAAATTATAGAATGAATATACTGTACTTTTCAAAAGTGCCTTTCTTTAAAACTTGTCAAAGCTCTTGTGTCGTCAATATTGTGGGGCGTTTTCCAGTCCGTTGTTGCATTTTTACAGCAATCCTCTTCGAGTGCGTATTATTGGTCATTGTTGGTTTCTGGGTTTTCTCTGCTTATAGAGTAATGAGCTATATACAAACGTCAAACAAATTTTTTTCTTTTTTCTTCCATTTTTTACCTAAAATCTGCTTTCTGTCACTGTAAAATAATAATAATAATATTTTTATTTCTTAAAACTGTGCTGCATATGCGTCTCAGCACTCTTTACATATAAAAACTAAAACAGCGAAGATTAATTAAAATGTAATATAAACGTAATTAAGAAGAACAAAATAAGCTAAAATATTTTTTGAATAAAAGGTTCCTAAAATTTCTTTTAAAACTATGAGTGCATTCCCAGAGATTTAGATCGATCCATCCGGATCGACCTAACTCCCTGGGGGGTTCACACTAAATTGCAGTCAGCTGAGCGCGCACGGTAGTTAATTACCCCCTTCCAGCTTCTAGTAGGCGGGACAGACATTTAAGCCGGCTAAGCTGACAGTAATTTAGTGAGACTCCCCACAGGGATAGATAGATCTAAAATCTGTGGGAATGGGGTCTATGACATGGCCCATTAAGAGAAACATTCAACTTGTTATTAAAATTAGACATGTCTGTTTTCCTTGAAATGTGTTATCTGCAATGCGTATAGTATATGCTGAAAAAAAACAGCATTACGTTTGGCAAAAATAATCCGATTAGGCTGGTTTTCATAACCGACCTGTATTTAAGTAACTTTCATCATTCCTTCAAGTTTGAAAACAACTGGTCAACCAGTTCTTCTCGGAATGTGTCATCTGTTTAAATACACGATTAAAAAATCAAGCTGATTTAAAACTTGACCTGTACTTCACTAGTATTTATCAGTTCTGTTGGTTTGAAGACTAAAGGTCAAATAGTTTTCCTATAATCGTGCTATCTTTGAAGTACATGGCAACCAAACGTATGACATTATGCCAATGCCAGACCTGGGTGACGGCTACATGTACAACTACAGGTACTGTGTGTCTGTACATTAAAAGTAGGTCTTATACTAGGGAAGAAGTTGCATTTGATATGCTTTGCTTTGGTTTGAAAATGATTAAAAGAGCATGATTAAAAAAAGTGTAATCAACAAATTTAGAAAAATAATGGACATGAGTGTGAAAATAAAAAGAATACCACACACTATTGTGGGTGCAAGAGAATACATTCAATAAAACTATTCAGAACTATTAAAAACTTACTGAAAGATGAAAAAACTCAGGAAAATTATAAATAATGGTAAATAGAGGGGAAATCAGTCATTTCTAAGCGTATATTATACTAAATAAAAGATACTTAAAATATTTCATATAAATCTTATATTTTTAAGTTTTTGAACTACCATTAAACATAACTTTTTTGACAACCAGAAATAAATTTTTTATAATAATATTTTCTTTTATTTTCACTATTATCAACATACAACAGAAATATTTTGTTTTTAACACTATGTAAACAATTCTTCAGTAAACTATAAGAATTAAACCAATATAGTTTTATTTTCAGTTTACATGTCTTCATGAGATTTTTCGTGTGCCTTACGACTGACATTATGTGAAAAAGCTTTCTCACAGTAGTGACATTTGTAAGGTTTCTCTCCTGTGTGAACTCTCATATGGCTCACACAAGCACCTTGTTGTACAAATCTCTTCTCACAGAACTTGCACTGATATGGTTTTTCACCTGTGTGAATTAACATATGTCGCTTAAGTCTTCTGTTATCAGAAAATGATTTAAAGCAGGTTTGGCATTTGAAAGGTTTTTCTCCCGTGTGACTTCTTATATGTAACTGCAACATAAAACTTGCTGCAAAACCTTTGCCACAAAAATGGCATAACAATGAATTTTTATTCTGCGTTTCCTTTGTTTTATCTGCTGTGTGTGATCTTTCATGTACCTGACAACAATATTTTATGGCAAATTTTTTCCCACAATATTTGCAAATGTATTTTTTTGCTTCTGCATGAGTTCTTTCATGTGCTTTAGCAACACGTTTAAACTCAAATTCTTTCTTACAGTACTGGCAATAAAAAGGTCCTGTCTTGTGAGTTTTCTCGTGTTTCCTGCAGCTTGATTCACACAAATATTTTTTACCACAAAACTTGCAAGTGCAAGATTCTTTCACTTCTCCATTTTCTCTGGTTTCTTGGCATGTTTTTACATGTTTATTAAATTTTTTGTACAGTTTAAAATTTTTTCCACAGAACTGACATTCATGCTTGGGCACAGTTTCATGGTTGTGTGCACTGAATTCCTCCACACTTTCAAAACAACTGCCACAGAATTTGCACTCCATCTTTCTGTCCTTTTCATGCACTTTTTGATGTCTCTTAAATCCTGACTTACAGATAAACTTGCCACATTTTTGGCATTTTCGTTTTCCTTGTTGATATTCTTTGTCTCCAGGTTCATAGAAATTATATCCTTCACTAAACTCTTCATCATCTGTCTCAAGATCTTCATCACTTGGAACATAAAGATCATCACTTTCCTCAGCAACTTTGCTAAACTCATCTGTCTCAATATCTTCATCACTTGGTACAGAAAGATCATCATCATCTTCTTTTTCTTGGACATCAGTACCTCCCTTGTCTATATCATCCTCCTCAAAATACTTTCCACTTTTTTCATCTTGGCTGACAATTTGTTTATGCATCTTTCTATCTGGATCTTGACCTGCAGAAACATTGAAAAGGTCTGAAAAATATGTCTGTCCTTGATCGGGATTATCCCATGAAACATGAAGATGATCTGTATAAAATGACTCTGGAGTATTATATCCATTGTCCTGTCCTGACTCATACTGACCTCTGGTGTCATCAATTTCAGTCTTAGGGCCAGCATGTTTGAAATACCTAATTGAAACATAATAAAAAAAGTATAAAACATAAATCATGTCATATACACAAGTTTTAAAACAAAATAAAACTTCAGATAGGAATAGGATCTGGGTTTTTAGTCATTATGATAGAAATTTCAAGATATTGATATAAATGAACAAACTTTTTTTCTTTTTTCTTTGGTCTTAAATCTGTGTTCTGCCACAGACTGGGACAACACTGAAAAGTGAAAAGATACTGGATATAGTGTACACATGTGGCTGGTGGGTGTACATGTATGTGTAACCAGAGGCAGATACAGGGGGTTTTTCTTGGGTTTCTGGAAACCGCTCAGAACTTCCCATTAAAAAAATTCTTGGCATGTTTGCAGAAGTATGTAAGACTAATAATTCCCATCGTGTTACCAGTTTCCCTCAATACTTGACAGATTCCAAAGAGGTCATTCAATATTACGTCCCAATGGCATTAAAAGTAGCTATCTAAATTATCTGATCTACTTGGATAAACAACAAGTGAGCTACTTGACTGACATGAATATTGGACAACATATCCAAAGGGCCTAGGCAACAGGAAAGTTTTGAAATCATTGTTGTTATCATTGTTGATACATGTATCAAGATATCTGAGAAGAAAAATGACTAAGTATCCATATGAATACCTCTACCTGACAGAATTTGACAGCAATAATTTGTAAATTTTATTCTCACTCCATTTTATGTATAACTTCAACCTTTTGGTTGCCATGTTTTAATAAACTTATTTACATATATATACTGCCAGCAGTCATGCTGGTGGCACTAGTAAAAAAAAAAAAAAGATTTAGGTTTTATCTATAAACATCTGCACCCAATATCTATATTTAAGCTTGTGAGGTGCAAAGACTATTTCAAAGTCACTTGAAAAATTGTCCAGAAAAAGTTCTGGGTCTGCCCTTGATGTCACTGTACGTGTATTTCATGACAAGTTCAGAGAGAAATGGCAAGTGTCTGACATTAATTGAGACAGAAAAAAAAAATCTTTTACACAATGCATAACAGAATCTGTCATAGAGAACTCATTGAAAATAATCACACTGTTACCTTAACCAATCAAAATATAGGGTTTGTATAACATTATTGATACGTAAATACATAACAATACTCACAAATCTAAGAGAATCTCTGCCAACACTTCATGTTTTATTTGTAGCTCCTTCCTCAGAGCATTCCATCTCTCTATTTGCCTGCCAATATGAACCGTCTCTCTGCTCCTTTGTCTGTCTTTTTCTAACTTTCTGGCCTTTTGAACTTCAATGGGAACAAGCTTTCGTCTGTTTCTTTTTTGTTTGGGCTTCACAGGTCTGTCACTCTGAGGGCTGACTAACTGATTAACCTGCAAGACAATATGACCAATTGCTTCAATTTTCACAGGAGATATTTTTCATATGGTCACACTAAAATGAGCCATACAGCACAATACACTAGACAAAATGACTCTAGATGTGAGTAAACTTAAATTAAACACAGGAAAAAATTATTTGCAAGAAGTTGGGGTGATACAAAAGCAACATATATTGTTAGGTTATTAATACTGTGGATTCAACTTGAAAAAATATCAGCACGTTTAGGCCATTCATTTCTGTCAATTAAGGCATCTGCCATTTCCCCCAGCCACTAGCAGAAAGTTGCCAATATGGCTGACAATCTGACAATAAATATATCATACCAATTTGTTAGATTGGATCAACAATTTTAAAGGGACATTTCATGGGATTTTCCAGCCAAAATGAATTTTCCTGGAGTGGAGAGCAAGGTAAACTTTAAAAAAATATTTAAAAGGATAATTGTATGTCTTTAGAGTCTGAATTGGAACATATAAAAAGCTTTACAGGACGTACAGTACATACTGTTGTTGTGGATTTTCAAACCTGCTAAGAGAACTTCATTTTGGTGAGAAATTACAAGTGGCCCTTTAATTACCTAGTAATATGTTTATGTTGAGCTGTAATGCACATTTTTAGTGTTACCCATTTTTAAATGAGAAGAAAAAGACAGGTGATATTTATACCCCAGTAGCATATGTGGTTAGCATACCAAGAACAATATATCAATAAATGCAAATGCATTATCTTCTTTATATGACTGTATGGACTTTTCAGGCAAAAAAACAAACAAACAAATAAATGAGTTCTTTAAAGTTAAAAAAAAAGGAAGAAAGTGCCTATTAGAACAGCATTTACTCCAGTATCTTTAGACTAGTAAACAAATTGTCAAGGTAGAACTAAACTGCAGTTGCAGGATTTTTTTTTTTTTTTTATGTATAATCTAAGTTTTTTATCCTTACTTGAGGCCCATCCATTTTCTTCCCGCTGACTTTACAAATGAGGACTGAAAAAGAACAAACCAAAGGTATAATTTAATTGAAATCCAGTTTCCCACCCTATTTATGATATTCAGTGTGTGTGTGAGAGAGAAAGAGAGAGAGAGAGAGAGAGAGAGAGATTGTTTCTTTCCATACTGAGATTAACACCGTAGCAATTAGTCCATCACTGGCCCGAAGGTTCGATAGTCAGAATTTATGCATGAATAACGTGTTTAGTGTACTGGAAATAAAGTAAGGTTCAATAGAGGCGCGTGCATACAATTTTTCGGACCATTGAACCTTTGGATTATGGAGACGCTCTCGTTTTTTACACACCTGGGGCAACTTACCCTGCCTACTTTGATTGTAACTCGAAAACAGACACTAATACTGCGCCGATACTAAGAAAAATTACCGGAAGTATGATACAGGCACAAACCAAAACATAAATAAATCATGTATAAATATGTTGCTTATAGTAGTTTGTGCTGTTTTATCTTTGCAAGATAACTATTTCGGTGTGCAAGCATTACCAGTCGATATGACGTCTCCCCAAGTGACTGATCTATCGTGGGGGAGGATGAAAGTAGACGGGAAAGTGTATAAAGACTGTAAGGTAAATAATGCCCTCATACAGTACATCTAGTATGCAGGCAGCCCAGTGCCAGTGAGTTGCGTCAGTGTGCAGACATATTAACGATATGTACGTGTATATAGTGGCGTGCCATTTTGCACAATCCCAGTGCGATTCATCAAGATTAAAACAGCAAATGCAAGACTTTGAAGTCCAATGAAATGTCCCTCTGACTTAAAACTTACTACTTGTAAATGTAATAGTGATAATGTTGAAAAATTAATAATTGTAAGAAAATGAAATGAATGAATAAATAATGAAAACTGTTTTGATAGGAAGTGAGAAAGCTGAATGTTTATTTTTATTCTTAATTAATGCAGCATTAGTTAAGGCTGTGATTACAGTGGAAAAGCTTAATTACTATAGTACAATATGTTTTTACACATAACTGTGTTTCCCAATGGTTTTCAAAGCCTAACCATGTTAACTGTAGAATTCTGACAATGTATGTGTCAGCAGATGGGTTTCCAGTATTGAGATGTTTGTATTACTGTGCTGTCCAGGTGTGGCCAGGAGGCAGCAGAGAGTGGGACTGGAGAGAGACGGGGACAGGGCACAACCCTGGTGTTCAGCCTGCTGATCTGGAGGAACTGTTAAAGAGAGGTGTGTACAGCATCATGCTACAATCCCTCCAACCCCACCTCTCAGCCACCCAGCTCATGAAATACTAGGCAGTTCATAACTGGAGTTTATATAAGTGATAACACTATACAGTATACAAATCTTGATCAAGCTTGCAGATATTTTAATATCAATACAAAAATTGTCAACATAAACTCAGTCAACCAGCAGGACATATGTGACAAGCTATTGGGTCAGGAGTTTGAAACTAAGACTTTGAAGTATAATTACTCTCTGAATTCATTTAAACAAAACTGAATATTTTGTTTTCCAAAACAACATTCCGTTTTGGGGAAATATTATTTTCAATTTGTATGATGTAAATTGAGTTCAAGTCACAAAGTATGATTTTTAATGCTAATTAGGTATAATGATAATCTTGAAAAAATAGTTTTTAAGGGAATAAGTGAAATGTCTGTTATTTACATATTTACTACAGTCTGGTGGCACAAAGTATTGTGCAGATATAACATGATGTATCTAATTGTTTGTTGATTGTACACTTTGTTCCAGGTGCAGATACCATTGTGATCAGCCGAGGTATGCAGAGTGTGCTGCAGGTCCCCCAGACTACTGTAGACTATGTGAAGAACAACCATGCCAACGTCATAGTGCGGCCTACCGAGGAGGCAGTGAAGGAATACAACCGTATGGCAGCAGCTGGAAAACGTGTTGGTGCAGTGTTCCATTCTACCTGTTGATACCATAACAGAAATCATGCTTGAAAAAATGTGGTTCTTGTTTATTGGAAAGATTTACTGTTAAATGCTTTTTAATGTTGTTTTTAAATGAACGATGAAACAAAGCATGCACAGGTTCATACAGTGAGGAAAATCTCTGCAAAAGTATTTCAGAACCATTGTAAGTTTTTTTTAGAGACACACAGTTTTAGTTTTGTTAAAACGTAATAAGATTGATTGTTCATTGTTCACAGAAATTTCCCTAAAACTATTGTTCTTTCATCTCACAAATGATTTCATTGTAGCATTTTTAAAAATGAAAATTTAATTTTCAGTTTCAAGTTCTTTTCAAATTACTAGAATTAATAATCAGTACAACACTTACATTTATTAATAATAAGCAGTGTATCAAGAAAGACTTTTTGTAGGTGGTTTTCTGGCTGTGGTGATCAAAACATTAGAGCAGAAGGTTTACTCAAATATCCAAAGCACCAGATTGTTCTTTGTGTTCTTTAATATTTACTGTAAATTTCAGTATTATATCACAGTTATATATCACTGTGACAGTTGTTGAACATATAATGCTTCACATCCCAAACTGGTGTTGAACCAACAGACCTTAGCATGGCCCTGGTTGTCTGCAGGCATTTGGTTTAAATTGCATCCTGTATTTGTCAACTGCACTTAGTATTTCACTGGCAGGATTGTTTCAGATGAAAAGTTTTCAACTTTTTTTTATTTAATTTAATATAGTTCTCTGATGTTGAACTTTATTAAAACATCTAGTAAAAATAAAAACTTGTAATATTTGATGTGTGCAGTACATTTTAGGTAAATTGCTATCTCAAAAAGTTCATGTTACTAGGTTATTTTTAAGGGAAATTAAATTATGATAAAATTTGTGATTACCTAGGCTAAATAATTCAAATGATAATTTTCTGTATGTGCTGTTTTGATATGCAAATTGAACTGTTCCACCCAATAAAAAGGATGTTTGAGGAACATTCATTTTAAAATTAAAATTTTTCTCTGAGTTAATTTGATTTGGATCTCCAGTGTGCTAATGATATGGGGAAGTGGTTGAGTGCAGCCAACTTCCTTTCACAAGTTTGCTTCCAACTGTTGGACCATTCAAAATTAATTGGCCATTTAGACGACTCTCTCATGTCAAAGGTGCCTCAGTCTGTAAATCTTATTGCATTCAGTAAGAGTCCCTGTGGAGTATCTAGGCCAATCCTTAGGCAAGTGAACGAGGGCTTGCATTAGCAAAACACATTGACAAGATGTGTAGTAAACATGATATTGATTATTACATGAAACAGAAACAATGTGATAGCTCACATGTAAATTAACAAGGTAACAGGATTCCCATTCAGAGGCTAGTAATTCTCTGATAAACTTCAAAAATTAGAAATTTGGAACTCAAAAACAGGTATACAAGATAATGATTTTCTCAATACCTGAATATTCTCAATTACTGAATACATTAAATACACTGTCCATGCAAGAACTGGTGATCTGGTGGAAGTCTTGTACAAACATTTAACAAATAAGAAACTTAAAACACCGGCTTTTGCTCACACTGTCCTAACGACCAAACTAGTTCACCACTCAACCCTTCAGTAATCAACTCTTGTTTACAAACACTTCAATTTATCTAGTAAGAGTGAAAAACACTTCAAATTATCTAGACTAAGTTGGAAAAGACAATCATGAGCTAGTCTAACCTCCATTCCATTAGTTTCAAGTCAGCATGCACATGCCTGCACAACTGTTGATGTTGTTCATTTTCTTGCCCTACTGTTTCCAAGTTATCAGTATGCCTACTTCAAAAGCATTCAAAATCATTTCAGTTATGAAAGTTAAAAATAAAACAGGATGCGAACATAAGCAGGGTACCTCCAACTTTTTTTTTTCACTGGTCTAAATTATTTCGAATATCAATTTTTACATTCCGTAATATTGATACATTGTACGTTCAACTGACCCTGGTTGTCCAAATGAAGGTTGCGTATTTCCAGGTGTCATTCTGTCCAGTGTCATGAACTGCCCAGCAGAAGGTCCACTCACACCAGGCCGCTGGGGCATTCCTTCAGTCAATGGCAGTTCTCCCACTTGAGTGCAATTATTTTCCTGCATCATGGACTCAGCAGACACAGTCTGCCCTGTTGCTGTGCATGGTTTTCTTTGGGCAGCTTTCTCCTTGGTCACCATCTGACCAGCTGCAGTATGTGTTTTTTCATGTGATTTACGACTCACATTGTGTGAAAAGCCTTGGCCACAGAAGCGACACTTGTATGGTTTAACTCCTGTGTGAACCCTCTCATGACTGACACATGCACCTTTTTGCACAAAAGTTTTCTCACAATAACCGCACTTAAAAGGTTTTTCTCCAGTGTGAATTAATTCATGTCGTCTACATTGTCTTTTAAGAGTGAATCCCTTGAAGCAGATCTTGCAGTGGTGGGGTTTTTCACCACTGTGAGTCTTTTCATGAAAATATCGAACATTTAATGTTGCAAATGTCTTTTCACAGTATCGACATTTATATGGTCGTTCTCCTGTGTGACTCCTTTCATGTTGTTGACAGCGAATTTTTTGTGCAAAGCCCTTACCACAGTGCTGGCAAACAAAGGGATTCTCTCCAGTGTGCGTCCTCTCATGCACAACCAAGCAATCCTTGTTTTTATACGTTTTTATACAATACTGACATTGGAATAAATCTTTAACTCTGTGACTTCTCTGATGATGTCGCAAATGTCCGATGAGCTGGAAACACCTCCCACAAGTTTCACAGGTGAAGGGTTTCTCTACCTCTTTCTCTACAACTTCACTTTGTTTGTGTTCCCCTTCATGTTTCACACACATGAAGTACTGCTTAAATAATTTCCCACAAAACTGACAAACATGTGCCAATTCTTTCTTATGTTCATGATTCTTCAACTCTTCTTTAGTAGTGAAATCACATCCACAAACCTTGCACTGAAGATTTCCATCATTCTTGTGAGTTTTTTTATGACGTGCAAAGGATGACCTGGGAATTTGTTTACCACAGAATTCACATTTATAAGTGCCTGGTTCATAATCATCATCTCCAGGTTCATAAACATCATCATCATCATCATCTTCTTGTTCATTATCACTTTCATCACTTGATGTCTCAGAATCATCATCATCAGCTAACTCAGCGTCATCATTGTTAAATTCTTCCAAGTCAGAAACTTTACCATCATCAAATGACTGACATTGATTTAAACTGCTAAACCCCACTTTGTCCTTTTCACCTTTTATTTCTGTTGTTTTTCCTTCAGTTTTTCCTCCAAGGTTCACAAAGGCTCCAGGAGTGTTTGCCATGGGGAGTTTTTCATCACTATATCCAAATACATATGATTTGTCCTCTGCTTTGGTTTGACTTTTAAGGTCAAGTTCTGAGGCTTGCTTCCCTCCCGAGTGCACACTTGAAACTGAGTTCAGTCTACGGGGTGATGCATTTTTTCTCCTCCTTGATGGCTGTTTTGAACTATAAACACAAAAACAACAAACACTAAATTATTCTAGATATCATTACCATCTCACAAATTACATCTTACTTTGGTTCAATATCCTCAGCTAATTAATGACTTTCTTACATTTTACATGGTGCATGTACTTCAAAACAGAGTTAAAACAAAAGAAATTTGCATTTGAAAGACACATTTGAAACCCCTTGTTAGAAAACAAATATCTTTGCAAAATCATTTCTTACTTGAGCAAATCATCTGCGCAATCAGCCTCTGTATTTTGTTGGGACACAAGTTTTACATATTTGTGGTATCTAAAACATGACAAGCAACAATTAAGACAACACCAGTCAACATCCTCAATATGTTGTTTGTAATAATATGACATTAATAAATATGAAATTTATTAGAATTATTAGACAAAAAAACTTGTACATGTTTTAACAAGCCTGGTTGATTAATACAAGGATTATGAGTAGTTGTATCTTACAGGGATGGTGTGTAAAACTCTTACGTGTCGATGAGATGTTTGGCCAGATGTTCGTTTGATTTGGGTTGCAGTTCCTCTTTCAAAGCTTCCCATCTTTCCACCTGTTTGCCAAGAAATATTGTCCTCCTGTGTCTTTCCTTGTTTGCTATTTTCTTCTTCTCCTTCTGCTCCTCTAAGGTAAATACACTGGCCCTCCCTCTTCTCGGTTTCTTCACAGGTCTTTCACAAATGTTATTTGGGATGGCTTCCTTAAATGAAAATGTAACAGGGAAATAAAACATTACATTTTTCAACCTATTTTGAAAAACAAATTTGAAAAAAATAAGTGCAATTATTAAACTAGTTTGTAGGACATTGTCTCTAAATATGGGGCTACATGATAACAAAATAAGAGAGTTATACAACAGTACTGGGAACGGTCACTTGGAGAGGGATTTACTAGTGGGTCACATGTACTAATAAAACTACTGTAATAACATTTGCGATACAACATTGCAAGTGATTTAACTAAGAGTGTTGCAGATTTCTTGAGTACAAACAATAACTATTAAGTACATAAAATGACAGTTCACGGTTTGCTTATCACACTTTAAGACTAAATAAGTGAATGACCAAAATGAAAATGCTAAATGAAATGGTATGAATGAATTAACAAAAACTAAACATATATTCGAAGAGCTATCTCTGAGAAAAGATTGGAAAACAACGCCAGGAAGTGCTGGATCAGAGCACTCCACCTACATGACTGCCTCCTACCTGGGCCTCTAGGACACCTATGGGGTCCACTACTGGCTTGACATCCTCTTCTTCACTGTAATTACTGATATCTTCTTTAAACTGGTCCATCTCTCTCATTCCACAGTAGATATGCAAGTGTTTGGTCTCACAAAGAAAATAAAAAATTAATTGCAGTATTCTTCAATGCAAATAACAGCAGTGTTACAAACAACCAATACAGTGTTACAAACAACCGATACAATGTTACAAACAATGATTCCTCCTCTTGCAAGCATGTCTGTTGACCATGACCATGATGTCAGCATATTTGTGCCAAATACATTATAACTTTACACCAATGGTGATCACAAAGTTCACTGTAAAACAACAAAATACTCTTGCCTACTTTGTCTTTATTGCAGAATTGGGTACTTTTGCTGTATCCTTCAACCCTGTACATGTAATTCTCTTTTTTTTAAAAAATAATTAAAATCATTATTTATATGGTGACTTTGATCAATGTCTCATCTATTCAAATAAAATTATTTGGAAATCAACTAAATTAATTTCATCTTTTTTTTGTTAAACCTTCAAGCTCTGACGCATAAGATCATAGTAAATTTCCACCCAAGTAATACCCTCTGCTCTCAAAATATTTGGATTGCATAATGTTTCATTAAAAAAAAACTATATAAATAAATGAATTGCCAAGGTGTTTTAAGCAATGACATTGCTAACAGTCACAACAATAAATAATAAAGAAAAGATATTGAAAACCAAAGAGTTGCTTGGCCCACAGCTGTAATTGGATCACCTTTTTCATTGACAAAATCACACATTATAACTATACTGAAGCTTGGCCTTAACTGACAGCAACAGTTATTGCACTCTGCATAACTGATTGATTGTTATACGTTCTTTACACGTGAATCACATACTACTTAGTGCACATAACTATAAAGCGACAAGCAGTTAGCACATCCACTGCAAAAAGGTAAAATTATGACGCAATGTTCCTATCACCAGAAAGCGGGGTTTGTAGAATCGATTGTGAAAGAACTTGCAATGCTTCCCTTCACTTTGGTCTTTTTACAGATCTTGCATTCTGGGACGTCTTCCTCGGGAATAACTATGCAAAAAGCGTAAGCTAAGCACAAATGTTCCCTGTGAAATTAAAACATCACGTGTTAATAATTTATTTCTTACCTCCTCAAGTTCAGGAATACACTGAACACTGAACCGTGGCCTTGTCAGTGATGACACGGGAATCAACTCGTCTCCGATAGTGCACTCGTATTTTTTAAAAAGCGCAGAATCACTTATAGCACAGCTATCGCAATGAAAGACATATCAGGGATGATGGGGTTTGTCTGGAACTTTGTAACTGTAAAGTTTAGTGAAAACAATTCACAAAAACCAATCTCTGAGTATTTAATCACAACAAAAACCTCAAGTTGCAACTTGGTACACTTATACTAGGATATATACATGTAAAGGTAACGAATGAAAACAAGGCAGCAAAGCCATCATACATACAAACAGCAAGCACATCTGTCAAATGTCACAAAAGTGCAATTTTTTAAAATAAACCAAAAAGCAAAATTATTGACAAAGCCCGCCAGTGTTTACTGTTTAGTTGACTTGATTTAACTTCTTTTCTGGTGTTTGAAAAGGTATATTTTCATAAAAGCTCTAAAAATTTTTATAGCTCTTGAGAGTGAAGTTCCATTTACTGTCTATTTGTAAAAAAATCAAATTTTCACAAAATAACATCATAACTTTAAGTATAATGATCTGATCAGTCTGTTTATTAACTCAAGCTGCATTTAATCACATGAATCATTTCTGAAAGTTTGAAAATAATAAAAAATGTTTTTTTTTTTTTGTTTTTTTTTTTTGTTTTTTTTGCTGAAGTTTATGATGAAAAGTAAACAGGGAGAAGGACTGTGCCTCCAGAGGCAGGTGATGTCTACACATTGACCCACACTGATGTATCCATAAAAATCAACTTAGCCTCAGATCCACTTTTAGAGTGAATTTTTGAACTGTGCATTCTTTCCTGCTGTCCGCAGTTAACAATAATTTGATCAGGCTGGTTTTTGAATTCAAACTGTATTTAGTCATATATGATGATGATGTTTTTTATTATCACCATGTTTTCTATTATTACCCGTATGTAAAACATGAAAAAACTACGCTGACAGAGGCAGGTGATGGCTATATGTAGAGACACATGGATCTGTTAGTAAAAAACAACTAAGTCTCAGAACTACGCTAAGAGTAAGTTATGTGAGCTGTGTTTTTTTTCATGCAGTGTGCGGTTGACATTGTGTGAAAAGGCCTTTTCACAGTACCGACACTTGTATGGTCTCTCTCCAGTGTGAACTCGCTCGTGGCTTTTGCGCTTATTTTTTTGCTTAAATGATTTTTCACAAAACTGACACTTGTATGGTTTTACTCCTGTGTGAATCCTCTCATGGACTTTCACATCACATCTATTTCTGAATGCTTTCTGGCAGAACTGACACTTATATGGTTTTTCTCCAGTGTGAATAGTCTCATGTTCTGCTTTACTTGACCTGGAATTAAATATCTTGCCACAAAAGTAACACAAGTAAACCTTTTCATTTGTGTGAATGTTTTCATGTCTCACTTTACTCCTAGCCATGTAAAATGACTTATCACAGAACTGACATTTGTAAGGTCTTTCCCCCGTATGAATTCTCTCGTGCTCTTCACAGGCCAAGTTTGTTGCAAATGTATGACCACAATACATACACATAAAGTCTCGCTTTTCTGTTCGTGTTTTTTTCAGTTTAGTGATCACTTTTTGATTTATATGTTTTTGTTCATGTTTAACACATGACTTGTATGATTTGTAGACAATTCCACAGAATTGACAGAAATGCTGTGTCTTTTCCTTATCTTTAACTTTATCTTTCTTATTTTGTTTCATCTTCTTAATAATATCCTCTATGTTTAGTATCCCATCATGTATGGTTTTTTTACTTTCCCTTAATGAATCCTTTGAAACACCTTGGAATGGGACATTTTCACCAGGATTGTATATCTCATCATCATTTTCATTCTTCTTGGTTTTTATGTAGATATATACCCCCTTCACATCTGCATGGAGACTTGTCCTCTTTCCAGCATTGGATTCTCTCTCATCATCCTTTTCCACACATAACTCATTGGCAGAAATGCTTTTCGTACTCGTGGGTTTGTTTTTTATATGGAGAACTGGCCAGTTGTCCTCTTTATCCTCATCAAAACATTCTTCATTATCAGAATTGTTATCTGCAATATCAGCTACACCAATGTTTACATTCTGGTTGTGTGCTTTTGTTTTATTCTGGATTGACTGCTGCTTCCCCCTGGTGGTAGCCATGTCTTGACCAGTGACATCACCTAAAAGTGACTCATCCTCTTCTCTGACACCAAGATCTTCTCTTTCACATCTGCAAGAACACACATGGTAGCTGGAATGATAAGAGCCATATTTCAGTTTAACCAAGACATTTTCCCATTTCCATTTCCCATTTCCATTTTCCCCAACTGAGGGAGGACAAACCAACGGTCAGGAGCACACACATATGCTGCTATTACAACCATTATTAATAGTATTTTGTAGAGTTGCACCATTTCATACAAATAGCGATCAAGCTAAAAAGTGCATGTCCACCAAGTGGGCACTCTACACTGATGACTCTTTTTTTTTTTTTTGCAATATAATGAATGCCCCAACATAAACAAATCATTATAATTTATTATCAATGGATCAATGATATTAATCACCTGGACATATATTTTGCTTTAATATTCCCCAATTTTCCAGCAACTGACCTTTTCTAGCTTTTCATGTCCCGATCTTTTTCTTGTGTTGTGCATGTAAGTATGGCCATGCATTTGCCATATCATTATCACAATACAGAATACCATGATTTTTTGTTATCATTATCATGCATTAGTACTATCAGTATTATTATCATAATAACCATTATTCTCACTTTATATCTATTATCCTAAATATAATTAAAAATGATATTAAATATTAAGTTATACTTAATGTTAACAAATAGTCAAGACACTCGCTCTACTGTATTGAAACTATAGTCACCTGTCAAGAAGAAGTTTTGCCAGATCTTCATGCCCAATCTTCAACTGGTTCCTCAATTCAGTCCATCTTTTATATTGGCCACCAAATGCTGCTGCTAAACTGCTTTCAGCATCCAGGAATTGCCTCGCTGTCACATTAAGGTCACCTGCCTGTGTGCAATTTTCTTTTTTAGCTTTGGACTCTGCATGAGTGGATATGTATTCTAAATTATAATATGAAATCTATTTAGAATTGATGATTAAGACCCATTCCCATAGACACCAGCAGCCTATATAGATCAATCTAACTCTAAAGGGACTCTTGCTGAGTGCAGTCAACTGAACTGAATGAAATGCCTCTTCCTGGATTTCAGTTTAAATTAGCAGAATAAAGAGAAGCTGGTGATTTTACTATTATGTTGGAAACAAAATGGAGGGTCATTTAGTTCAGCATCGCACTAAGAAAGAGTCTACGCAGAGTTGGAGTGATCTACCCAGACTGATGGTTTCTATGGTAACCAACCATATTACATACCATTTACTTACTAACTAGTATATTTTAAAGGGTAGTTACAAGAAACAATTCCTAAAAGTGGTAATCATGTAATCATTACATTGTAGCTTATTGTTTTGTAAGTAGCATATATGTCTAAGGAAAACCCAAAATAACATGGACAGTCAACATAAAAGATTTGAACAATAAAAAAAACAGCAAAAGCATATAATTATCCTCTTCCATCTGCCCATCTTCCCAGGACAAAATCATTTGTTAAACCCAAGTCTTTTGAACTCCACTATTTAGATTGTTCACTGATGGGATATACAGAGGGGCAGGCCTCGATCATAAACGTTAACTGGACCTCATTCAGATTTATCCATCATTTTCATACTAGTTGGGTTGGTCTAACTCTGTGCCCCCGAAGATACTTGAGGAATCTCCTTTGTGATAGTTGGATCAACCCAGCTGGTATATGATATATGTCTGAATCTGAATACAGTCAAAACATTTAACCAATATCAACAAGAATCTCTCCTAGCTACTGTCATAAACATATAACTAGTACTGGGGTCAAGAGTACTCACCAAAATCAACTGGAATCACCAAGGAATCAAGCCCTGAATTACCTGAATCAAAAACAAAAGTTAATTCACTGCAAAAAAGGTTAAATTATGATGCAATTTTCCAGTCACCAGAAAGCAGGGTTTTAAGTAGAATTGACTGTGAAAGAATTTGCTTTAATTCATGCCTTCACTTTTAACAACAGATATTCTATGTCTTGCAAACTGGGATTTTCCCCCAGGAATAATGTATATTGTGTATAATAACATTGATTCTGGTANTTTTTTGCTAGGCCTCTGCAGCAACAGTATGTGTGGAGGCAGGCAGACCACTAGGAAATTAACATATTACTTTTTGAGTGGGGTCTGCCATATTTAGTCTGCAGATCAGCTAGTTGGCAGACCATCTGTTCTGATTGTGTTCCAAGTGATAACTATATATCGCTAAAACTTCAGTAAGTTCAATTCCTTGGAACCATGAAAAATCTGATGAAAAATCTGCTATATTGTAAACAAACTAATTCTGTCAATCATCACGGAAGGCTGTTATTTTACATATTAGGTAGCAGAAGGAAACAAGTGGTATCTAGCAGTGATAGTGAAGATGAAATACCACTGAGTAGTTTACGAGGCATGTCACAGTCTGTGTCTGAGGACAGTCATATTCAAGGTGGTGAGTAGTTAATACACATTGTCATGTTTAAATTTTCTTATTATAGTTTATTGTTACCTTGAAGTGATATTTTAAAGTTATCTCCATGTGTTTGAAAATTCAACACAGCCATTTTTGTATTCTGAAAAGTTTTAATTTTTATTAAAAAATTTTCTAATTCAGATCAGAAAGATGATAAATCCCATTAAATAAAAGCCTAGTCTGGAACTATTAAGACTCACAATGTCACGGCACAGGGACAAAACACTGTCATTTTTTGTGTTATGAATTTAAATATATGCCAAACCCAGTTAAGGCCATCAAAAGCATGCGTCAACCATATAAAACTTATTTAAAAATAAAAAAATTGAAGAAAAAGTCTAATACAAGGGAAATGTTGAGCAATTATATGTGAGTAGGGAAAATAGCATTTTCCCCCAAGAGAAATTCATTTTGGTGGGTAAATCCCATGCATTTACACAGTTGCAAAAAGATAAATTATTAACGTCAACTCAGATTCTTAAAAGTGTTTTTTTTTATATCTGTTTTTTGTGATAAATATTATTATATCTGGAATATTTTCTGACTCAGATCTTTTCTCTTTTTGGTCCTTCAAATAAGTGTGGCAATCAAAACATATCAAGGCAAACAATGGGCAATATTTACCCAAAAGGCAAACCAGTTTCAAGGAAGGCAGCAAGTATTTCCCCCAGCATCCTTGGAGCCCAGACCTGGACAGAGAACTTATAGAAGAAAAAAAGAGAATGAGAAGAAACAACCACCATGATGATGTTCTTCAACTTGTTTTACCTCCTAATTTTATTAATATTGGACAACAAACAGGGAGATGGAAAATTTTAAAAGACGAACTACAATATGGCACCAGTGAAAGGCTGGCAAAGCTGCTGATAGACATGTGAGTAGTCGACCATCTTTAATATACATCTACAAATTACATGTTAATAAAAAAGAAACTTGTTTTTAAAGAGACATCTTTTCTACCCATACTGCATTATTTCAACAGTTCCTCAAAGAGCCTTGATCACATGACCTCCACTATATGTCACTCAAGGTTGGAGGATGTTGCAGGTCTTGGTGGCAGTTCTGGCATGTGGACTTAGTTTGTGTGTGGATGATGTATAATTTATAATTTCTATCAGTTTTTTTTTTTTTTCTTTTTCATTTTTGTTACCCTTAACTTGTCGCTTAACAGTATTTCTTCCTTATCTTTTTAGATATTACGAATACAATGATCTTCTTTCTAAACCATGTATGAAAAAAATACTTGGAAATGATGATGGCTGTGAAGACTTCAGTCCATTTCTGTAAGGGCATTTTTCTTATTCATTTTGTATTGGAAGTCCAGAATTGCATAGCACAACATACTCATACTCCACAACATTATTTATTAAATTGTTTCAGATTTGTCATTACAGCAACCCAACAATACACAGCATAGTAATGCTATTAAGTGACTTTATTCATTTCTATTATTTTTTCAGCAGTTATCTTTATTCATTTATTTATTTTTGTAAGGTTGGACACAGAAAAGCAGCATGAGTCAGTTCTACACGTTTCCATTGGTCCAGACACTGCCAACACCAGAGGGCAGCATGAGTCGGATGATTATCCCGTTAGTTTTCACATTTCATCAGTTCTACACGTTTCCATTGGTCCAGACACTGCCAACACCAGAGGGCAGCATGAGTCGGATGATTATCCCGTTAGTTTTCACATTTCTGACATCAGAACACAGCCTGAGCCAAACCAGACTGATGGAGTTATCCAGGACACCAGATGGCAGCATAAGCCAGACCAGACTTATGGAGTTTTCCAGGACACCAGATGGCAGCCTAAGCCAGACAAGACTGATGGAGTTATCCAGGACACCAGATGGCAGCCTAAGCCAGACAAGACTGATGGAGTTATCCAGGACACCAGATGGCAGTACAGGCCTAATGTAATTTCAAATGACCACAAAAATAATTCTGTTACCAGTAAGCAGCACATATCAGTTGAGGGAAATTTTCATAGCCTAGACAATCAGGACACCAAAGGCCTGTACAACATTTTTGATGGTAATGAGAATTTTTCTAACATTTCCATAAAACACATTAAACAAGAGGTGAAGGATGAAATGCACCAGGGTAATGACAAAACAAGCCAAGATTTAAAAGTATTTGTGAACTCTGTTTTCACGCCAGATAACCCAGGATCAACAATCACAGAAAAATTAAATTCTCAGAATGTCACCAATTTAGAAAAGGATCCTGTTAGTGCTCAAATTAGTCCAAGAAAGCCACTGTTGGATAATCATAAAACTCATGCCAACAACACAATTATATGTGCAGGTGATGCTCCAAGAACTCTCTATATCTGTTCCTATTGCCCTATGCAGTTTTGGTCTCCAGATCGTTATAAAAGACATGAAGAAATTCACTTGAGTTACAGATACCACTGCATGTACTGTGACAGAACATTCCCACACAAAGCCAGTTGGAAAACTCATGAATCGGAACATAAAGGGAAAACCACATTGAAGCGCCAGCACTATGGGGAGAGATATTCTAGATACAATATTTACAGTGAACATGAAAGGACACACACTGGAGAAGAACCATACATGTACCAGTGCCGGCACTGTGGCAAGAAATTTATCAGCTCCTTTGGAAAGAATGCACACCAACGGCAGCATGGACTTGGATCTGAAAAGCCTCAGAAATGTCAGTTTTGCTTCAGAAGATTTGCCGAGAAGAAAGAACTTATTCGCCACAAGAGGATTCACATTGGGCACAAATCTTATAAATGCCAGTATTGTGAAAAGATTTTTATAGAAAAAGCTATCTGTATTGGTCACGAGAGACTTCACAGGGGGGAGAGACCATACTCCTGCAGGTTTTGTGAGAAAACATTTATCTACAGAGAAACCTGCAAACAGCATCAATTAGCTCATTCTGGAGTGGACAATGAAAATGTCCATTTTTAAGCAAGAGTATTAAAGTTATAGTGATTGAGAATAGCCCTTAATGGATCTTGTTTGCTAATTGAAGATCACTTTTGTGGGAAATCCCTTATATAGATTAATGTTAGATATTTCGTTTTATATAAATAATACACTGCAATGAGAACCTTATATTATCAGTATTGCCATACATCGATTATGCAGCAGTATTACTTGTATATTATAGATTTTAAAGTGGATAGAATGGTATTTGACTTAACATCAAAACCCAGGCCATGGGTGATGTCTGAAGTTTGTTATTATTATTATTATTATCTCGTCAATTAATTAGGAAGTAAGTTGTGTCAAATTGTCCAAGTACATTTTGAAAAATACTCATTTGGGATCTTAATAGTGTTGACTTGTGCCTTTCTACCAGTCCAAAAGACCACGTCAAGGTAGAAACCACGGGAGATAGGCCTCTAAATAAGCTGCAACTTTTGTAGGCCTAAAAAGTTAAACGAACGACTGTTCATCCCTCCCACAAGCATTTTATCAGCCTATGGCCTTGCAAGCAAAAACGCCACACTGTTTGAAAACTTAAATATTAGAAAGAAAACCCATGCTGTAATATTCGTTTTTATTGACGCCCTCATTTGCGTGTGAGACATTTTTAGATATATTTAGTAAATGTATACATAATTATACATTAATTAAACAGTGACTTTGAAAATGTATTTTGTTAGTTACATGTAATATTTAAACCAAACTCTTGAAACGCAACAATGATATTAATAGAGCGCCTGTCTTACGAACGTCTATTTTCAGAATATCTGTCGGTGCTGTGCTATCCTCTTAGTAGAAATAAAACAGAAAAATATAACACTGCAGCGCCGAACGTACCCCGACAAGAAGCCCGAACGCCGAGCTTTAACATTTCACCGTGAAGGATAGTTCATAGGGGGCTGCTGTCAATATACACGATACCTAGGGTACTTGTCTGTTTATCTCAGACGTTTGATAACAAAATACTAGTGTGTAAATCTGGCAATGAAAGACATTTGCTGTGCATAAAACCCAATCACCATTGGTTTCTATCAAGGCGTATGAGCGCGATGCGGACATTGACGTTTCGACAGCAATTCTACATGTATTATGAAATAATTGTGTATAACGAAAAAAATTAAACCGTGCTCTATTCGTCACTTTAGGAGAACTATCAGATTGAAAAAGGAACATCCAATTACCTAGATGCACGCCCGCCTGTCACCATCGATGGATCTGACAAAAACGAAACGATATTTACAAAAGCAGAGTAGTCTAACGTTATGAAAATGAAAAAAAAACTAAAAGATGGTTTAGTGTAACTAAACGACTTGTGGCATATTACTGAGCGCGCCCGCACGCTCGCGCGCGCTCACACACAGAGAGAGAGGAGTATAGATGTATATGCGCGAAGTCCATGCATCGAAGTTCATTCATCACTATCCAGTAATAAGGTTGAAATATTGTTCATTCACAAAAAATTATCTGGTCATTTCAGGTCCCTAAAATTAAAGATATAAAACAATATTTCAATGGTGGGCAGAGACGCCTATTTCTGTTTTTCTTTCAAATGGCGCTTTGGTGAGGCCTGGTTGGTCAAAACATGGCAAAAACTGCTCAGATAAAATCATTCAGTGGACCAGTGACCGGTGACCAACATAATGTACTTTTATTTTGGGGTGGGTACAGGGCTGGGATATATTTTTTCTGGTATATATATATTGAAACATTTTGAACACTTGATCGTCTTATGTATTTCTGATATTGTAAAATATAATCCTAATTTTCATTCTTCAGATAATGGTGAGTGTTGAATAAAAGATTAACGTCCCCTACTTCATCCTGCCCGCCCCCGCCCCCGCCCCCCATGAATGGTATTGAATCTCTCGTCAAGAAATAGATGTCACTTCTTCAACTTTTAGTGAGCAGGGACTTGATGCAAGGCCGTCTGGATATTAAGTATACCGATATTTTAGTTTCAACCGATTCAAGATCAAGTTATAAGATATATTAGGCATTTTGTGAAAGCTTATTTGTGAGTAGTTTTTAGTGAAGTTTGACACTTGCATGCTTTAAACTGGTATTGGTCATTCCACAATATTTCCTTCCTCCATAACTTCTTCTAAATATATAATGTTCTGTATTTTGAATTTGGTTCGTCGAAATATCAGCAGCAGCAGTAGTAGTAGTAGTGGTAGTAGTAATGGCAGCAAAATGTTACACGAGAAATAGGAGAAAGAAGGGGGAAATTCTGTGAAATGGCCCATGAAAATCCTTCACATGTAGGCATTGGCATATTGATATTTAGTGAGTGCTTCGTAGTCGAACGTAATATAGGTAATGTAACTTACTTCCATTTCCTCCAAGTTGAAGACTGAAATGTATTTCTTCTTGACAATGCATAGGCGACGAATAAATAGATAGAATGCTTTTTGAGACGGATTATGATCATATTTTCGATCCTTTTCATTGATACCGACTGTAAATATCAGACTGTTCATTTAAAATACATTAGTCCAATGGTAATTTTCATCCTATTAAAAATTAAATATTGGAAACAGGGACATATTTAAGACTGCGTTGTTATCAGTTACAAGACGTGCTATATGTTGATTGAGGGAGATATGCGGTCCTTGTGCCTTTTAACATATTCTACATCTAATAATACTTATAAGCTCGCCATCTTAGTATTTGAAGTATTCTTCTGTTCTTGGTATTCTTTAAAATAGCAGAAAGTGGTGATTTGTGAAAGTATTCTTTACGCCTGCTTAAAAGTGGCCATTCTAGTGATTTCTGCCTGACGGATTGCAAGAGCAAGGCGTTCACAGGGTCAAACTGAAAGCACGATATGCTGTTTGAAACGAATATTCGATTGATGATCATTTTTAATATGACGCTGCTCATGAAAAAACTGTCCAGTGGTATTTTCACATGGTTTGTAATCAAATTGTCAACTTTGAAATCTTTTACAAAAAAAAGCATTTGAAATAGGTCATGTTTAGGAATGCTTGGTAACCAGCTACAAACACTTGCTTGCTTTATTTCAATAATCTACTGTGTCGTGAAACCTTGTATACTTACGATAATTTCAAGTTTGCAACCGTGACATTTGTGAAATGGTACTATTTGTGGTATTTTTCAGCAAGACAGCAAGTAACTTGATGTTTAGCTCTATAAATGCCAATAAAATTCGCAAAATATTCAAAACCTTTCTGTCGTTTAAGGCCCAAATCAAAATTATCACCAATATACATTAACCACCAATTTGATTTCTACCTAAAACCGTTAAGAAAGCTACGGTCTGTTCGTCCGGTTGCGAATTCTTAATTTCTGGCAAGTGTAAAATTCATTCAATTTTTATGAAGAAAATGACCGCAGACTAGAAACTTGAATCCCAAACTACAAAGATCGTGATACTGTGAATTGTTTTACCTGCAGTATACCGTGTTGATAACGGGACACGTGTCGAGGTTACTAGGGAAATGTTTGCTATATAAAGGTCCAATACTGTTCATTCACCTTTAACGTATTTTCAATCATTTGAATACTTACTGTCGCGTAGAGCACTAAATCTCTTCCTCAAATTCGTATATTTGCTGTCTTGTTGAGAAATGAATGTCATTTTACGAACCGCTTTCTGCTATTTAGTTGTATAAGTGTAGCGTATTAGTGTAGTACTCACATTATCGAGTTTCTCAGTAATGTTTTCTGATATTGATATTTGATATGTAAGAATAATATGAATAATTTTCTGAAGTAGAATTTAGTTCGTAGAACGTTGAACTTAGAATATAACCGGTGTTTGTTTAATTAATTTGTTAAAAAAATGTACATGTAGGTTCTGTGTATAGGTAAAGAGGACGTCCATGTGACTGGAATTTGTTATATTTCCCCCTATTAGGCTGTTCTTTGACAATCTGCAGCTTTTGCTGTATAGGTATCTGCCAAATGTGTATTTTCTCGTATCTGACACCAATGTATGTTAGGAAAGTTATTACATATGTGCAATATTTTCTTTACAGAAAATGGATGTTGGGCATGTAAGAAATATCATGATCTTTCCCTCGGATTTTTCCCAGGGCTGACAATTTTACTTTGTTTAGGTTTTTTAATGATTATTTATTTTGTAAGAGAATTTTTGAAAAAGTGTATTTACCATTCTAGAATAACGTTCGTTAATAGCTAGTTATTTTTACAAACGATTTCTCACTACTATGCATTCCCCAATATAACATCGCGTTAATTTGAAAATTTAATTTACTGAATTAATTCCCATGATTCTTAACAATTACTGAGAGACAAAAACACTGGTGGATCAAGGACATTTAATTTATGGAGTCAGATGTTGACATTTGGGAAATTTGGAGTCATTTCGGGCTTGGTTATGTAAATCCACAATGGGTGATTCCTCCTTCCGGGGAAGGAACACTGGATCCACCACTGTTTTTAAAATGAAACTCTTGAAACATTTTGCTTTGTATCATCATGATCAATAATATCTGACATAAGACGAGTTGTTTAGTTGATAGTTTATTTGTCAAACCCAATAGATAATACTTTGTTTTTGCACCTTTAAGTGAGTGCCAATAAAGATATCACAAATTTGTTTTACATACCCGAACCTTTAAACTTGTAGTGATGAAAAGATTTAATAAAATGTAGTTTTACAGGCAGATGTTCTTAAAAAACGAACGAATACAAACTTGTAATGGATATTTGTTTTGCACTAAATAAAAACTTCTCAAATATGCAAACTGTCTTAGTATTTTTATTTAATGTTGCAGGACTCAGTGGTGACCCGGGGTTGGGGTTCGATTCTTGGCTTCTGTACTAGAAAATAACTAGAGGGACTTATATAATTTAATGTTGGTTACTATAAGAGGAAAGTCTACCCGGGGAGGGTGGGTGGGAACACTTAGAGGAGTAGGTAGCGCGCTTGACTCGGACACAGAGGGTCCCGAGTTCGATTCCTGGCGTTTCTGGGTCCCAGCAAATTACCTTTTGCCAAAAAATTCCAAATTAGCAATTTGAATTACTACAAGAAGATGATAAGAGTGACTAGAGACAAGTTGAGGCAACAGCTCAGCAGGTAGGACGGCTGACTACAACAGCAGAAAGCGGGAGAACAAGGGTTCGAGGGAAACTGCAGAACACGATGCTAGAGAGGTCAGGTGTAGACAGCTTACATACTTTAAGATAAGGTAAAACATTCATGTTTATTTTACAATTGAAATGAAATAAAGCAATCTCATAAGAAAAAGATGTTAGAAAATCGCGATTACATATTCTCTTAATAAAAATAATTTTTTCTTTCACAAAAATCGCCAAAATTTAAGGCGAGCTGAAACAGAAAAAAGTTCCACTATACCCAGGTAAAACATGTCGAAAAGTCTATGCATTATGAATATAGCAGCTCAAAAATATAACAGTTTTGATTGATAAAAAGCAGCTCAAAAAATTAACAGTTTTAATAGAAAAAAAGAGGCTTAGGAATGCTACACTATACAAAAAGTTTTCATGATTTTGCACAGAACCAATTTACAAATCGGAATGTTAAAAGCATTCTATTTTACATATTTGTTCTAAGTTGACCTAAGTTTTACGTCTTAGAAACTATCGTAAATTTTACCCAGGGACATATTCTCTAAATTCGGTGGTATTAACGATATTAAAAAATCAAAATGCATCCTTTCTGATGTAACTGCCACCCCAGATATAATAAGCATGCGCTTACTTGATACCTTGTGACATGTCTCAATGCTGTGATGATCGCACATAAAAACACAAAGGTTTCCCAAAATTATTCATTTTGTGCGACTGGCCAAGTTACTCATGAATAAATGTAGCTCATGTCTTGCGTCAATTTGTTTTCTTCACATTAAATCTTAAAACAGGTACTTGATAACACAATTTTGAGTGAATATTTTTGCGCGTCGTGCGAATCAAGAGCAACATAAGGACATGGTCAGTTTACAGCCTTATCCAACTCAGTCATTTCTATGAATAATATGCAAACAAATTTCAAAAGGTAACACCAAAATCATTTTACTTCTAACAATTTAGAACATTAAGCAAATGCCTATAAACTCCAATCTGGTCTCCGGTGTTTAGTGATCAAGAAGAACATAGCAAAAATAACCCACTAGCTCGTGCTGCAGGACTGACATCTGATCAGAACGTGTGATCTCCACCGCCTCTCGGTGCCCACCATAATAAAGTTTTAAAAAAGCACCAGGTTCAACCTCAATCAAACTAAAACACTGATATGTTTAAGTAACAAACTTTAAAATTTCTGTTGAATTGTTTCTTCTTTTATGCGGAGAGCATTGACAAAAGTTGACGTCTACAAAACCTCATATGGTCAATATGAAATACCTATTACTCCCAAAAAAGAGCATTGCTGTAGCTAATGTAATCAATAATATCGACAATATGAATTTCATAGGCAACTTTTCGAAAATTTAGAATGTAAAAGTGATGGATGATAAAAAGCCAGACCCAGGTATACTTTTTAATGGACAAATGAGCTCGAATTAAAACACTGTCGCTTTCTATGACCCACTGTTTTTCCTTAGTGAAGATGAAACATTCCTGCTCTGTGATATGGGCAAGGCACAAATAGACTCAATGCTAGGAAATTTTGGCAGTCCAAATAGGAACCTTTAGGCTACTTATCACGTTCACAATGTATTTTCTTACTGTAATAACAAATATCTATTTTAAAAAATCTTCCCCTACCCACTGGTTTGATTTTCGTAAAATAAATGGTTTGGTCCCCTCCCAGCACTGAATATATCTGTTACTGTCAGACACATAGATCCAAACACCGGGAACCAAAGAAAGTTTACTCTTAGAATGCGTCACAGTTACAAACAGAAAGATTGATGTGATACGTGTGGGCACTTCTGCAATAACACGAGCAAATTTGCAGGTCATCAATGCTTTTACTTCTGAAGATTTTTAATATGTGGATTGCAATGGTAACAATTAAATTAAGATTTACATCTCGTTTTCTTCAAATGATCACCATTTCTATATCTCGAATTTTTTCTATACTCATTTTAAGTAATGGAGATGCGACAAACGTTTTTCTTTTCAAAAGTTAACTTCATTAAAATAATAATTTGAATTTAATCTAAAATAAATAAAAAATTTGTTCAAGTGCACAGCGAAGTGTAATTTGCCCACACGCATCATTTGACAACCAAGCAGGCACCGGTTCTGCTTGCATTGCACAGTGCTCTACCTAGACACCGCTTGGTAATAATTTTACAACTTTATCATTTTTGTTTTCATACATCACTTAAGGCACTTTTTAACAACATTATTTCATTTTGAATAGAATTGGCTATTTATGTTCGACAACTGGCGGGTATAAAACAATGAAACATGGACAAGTAACAAAAATATCGTTGTACTTCTACCTAGTAACATATCTTAAGTGTTAAAGCAGTGACGTGCAGGGTTGACGCTTGGATTTAGTCCATTTTTATCAGAAGTTTCATGGATAAAACGCTCGTTACACGCTGTACTTTATTCGATACACGTTTTGATACAGAATATAACAACCCAAAGCAAACTATACATTTAAGCCTAATCAAATGTCAACCCTGCAAGTTGACTATACGACAAACTTCGGCACGCATGACAACGTTGACATGGGTGCGGGCGCTGGCGAACACGAATCTGATGTCTTTGCTGGGAGTGCGTCCAATCTCTTCATAAACGGTAGTTAAGAGGCACTGAAAGTAAATGAAAAATCATTTTACCATCAAACAGTAAACAGGCCTAACTATCATACTGTTCTGTACACATAAGAACTGATGTTATAAATAATAATAATAATAACAATAATAATCATTACTTATTATTATTACCAGGGTATGACTTCTAATATAATTTGCGGAATTAAATTGATATATGCAAACAATTGTCAGAGGATCTATAGATTTGATGAAGTTTATATGATCCAAGAAAACGGACAGAAATAATCATTTTGTTTTTTATGTGAAATGCTAGGCCGGGGTTATATAAATAAAAACATTGTTCCGGTTCTGAAGGATGATATAAAACACTTGTCGAGGACAATTTAGCCGTTTCTAGAGCACCTGGAAGGGGAAATTGTTTGGTTTCACCTCGTTTTGTCAGTTTTTAATCTAGATTGTTAGTTTTTAATCTAGATTGAAATATCAAGGTCGGAATGTAGCCTAGCAAATATACGTTTGCTTTCCTGGTCGCGGCTAATTTTCTATAAAACATTTGCTTGTTGTCAGTTTACTAATAAGCAGGGGATACTCTGATATTTTGAAAAACAAATCGCTTTCGTTTGGAATAAAAGGACGCCCATAAGGATTATTGAAATTCAGAATGTAGTTACAGTACCTGCCCAGTTGTCTTGCTTTGTTTGGGACGGAATAACACAATCAGACTGCAGACAGCTGGAATGCTATTTCTCTTTTATTAGCAAAAGCGTTTCCTCTGGAAAATAACAGAAAATAAAATATTTTACTTCAAGCTCATTTTGGACATCTTAGAGAAAGCGATGTTCACGTCAGTAACATGACCTCGTGGTCAATACAGCTTCAATGAAAAATGAGCTGTTTTGGGAAAATATTGTGAACACATAATGGGCAGTGTTATATTATATGATCTCTGCGGTACTTACAACAGATTGCTGCAGTTTCGGTGGCAGAATTTCGGCCTACATGTGGAAATTCTAGGCTTCCTTCTTTTCCAACTGACCTTGGTCCTATCCGAATACCTCTCAGCAAAGTGCTCGCCTGGTTTACGTAATAATGTACAGTTGACCGCCTTCCGTACAGAGGCCTCGATTTAGGCATTGGTCTTTCTCGTGTGTTAGGGCACCTTTATCGATTCCGACCCCGGGAAGGTAATTCGGGTTTGCTAAAACGGCAAAAATAAAAATCACCTCTCTCAGCCCTCATGTATGATATCAAGTACCTAGTGTCAGATTTCACATTTCACTGGTAGAATGAATGAACTCCAAAAAATCAAAGGAGCAGTATTGTGTTAGACATGGTGCGAATTTTCCCCAAACTTTTTTGCCGTCAAGGTAATGTATATATATACGACTTGCATTATTCGTCTCGTTTTCGATATTGAGCGCAATGCATTGTGGGTAAAGTGGTACCTATCTTGCGTTGCCGCCATTTCTGTACACAGAAATAAAATGCCTCTCGGTGGTTCTATGTGTTTTGTGCCTGGCTGTTTCAAAAATACGAAGCGAGATCGAAATTTTTCATTTTATGCTTTCCCCAAGGACCCAAAAGAGAGAGGTATATGGATTGACAATATTGGACGAGCGGGAAATGAAAGCAAAATTTAGTAAGTTCGAGCCCGCTAAGCATCACCGTGTGTGTAGTGCTCATTTTTGTCAACAACGCTTCCGGTACTATTTTGACCCCTGCAGTGCACAATTCCGGTCATGCGCACATCGCACCTTTCGAATAATGCAAGTCCTATATACAAACTATCTCTACGTGCCTATGGATTCCTATGTGAGATCTTAATCCGAAATGAATAGATGAATAGTCATAATCAGCACAACGCAGTTAAAACATGCTGCTGCATATTGCTCAGGAACTGTAAATCTTTTACTAGATATTTGTGGTGCCAAAAGATTTGCACATGTGTTAAGGTCCACTAAATGCATGTGATGAAATCACTCATTTACATATTATGTTTATACTTGTAATTAGTCAGCATATTATCATTCACCTTACTTCAGTCTTGAATGAATATTTATCATCCTCTGTATAGGTATACCTGATAAGTAGAACTGGTATAACTTAAAAGTAGAAGCCCTCAATTGTTATCTATTGCATTGCAATTAGTATTTAAATGAGTTGCTGCCACTGTGGCATGGAGATAGATTCTCTGGTGATAATGTGTATAAAGGCTGAATGCTTGGACTTAATAAAGGACTTTTANTAATACAAGTGTTTTATAAGAGAGAATCCTTGATATAATTTTTGCAAGTGCACGTCCAGTGCTTTTTGCTAATGATTCTGCCTGTAATACTAAGTTGTCGGTAGTGAAAAGTAACGCCCAAGTATTTATACTGCTTCATAGTTTCTAGTTTATTCTCTCTTATTGTGAATGTAAGGTGCGATTCTTTATTCGTCTTCCTGAAATGCATGCACTTTTACTTGTCCGTGTTGATAGGCACTCGTTTGCAACACTCCTGTTTTATATATAGTTTAACAACGAAGTTAATTGTTTTCTATTTAATCGCACGCAAGATTCTGAATTTCGGTAAATACCGAATTGAACAATTTAATGTCAATGTTTTGTAAAACCAGTTTATACAATTTAAATCTCTGTCAATGAAATCACAGTATTTTTAAGTCTTTAAAATTTAAGAAGAGTCTGTTGCTGTTTTTATAAGGTTATTTAGAGTAAATACAGGTATGTGATCCTCGCATGATTGGTTTCCTCTAAATCCGTTTTGCTCATCTACTAAGATGTTCATATTCTCAAGGTAATACGTGATACGTTCATTGATTGATCGTTATCAGTTTACTAATACAAGCTATCCCTGTGCATTTCATAGTCATACGAGTGTCGTGGAATTCTTTAGTGTCGGGTTTGATTTACGTACAACGGTAGGGGTAATGTCAAAAATAAAGCGAAAGATGCTGCAAAGCCGCTATAACACTTAGATATTTGCGGGCGCTATTAATGGGCTGTTGTATTTGTGTTAAATGTTATTTTGATAGTATTTCAATATCACACATGTATACACACGTGAATCCAAATGTGCTTCATAAGAAAAAAAAAAGAAAAAAATCCGAGTTTATTGACATATACAAGCAAGCCATCTATTAGCAACATTATGCAAGAAGTAACAGGAAGACTTGGATGAAATTCTTGGACACTGTCGAGAGTGGACCGAGTAAAAATCGATCAGATTTTGGTGGTGTATAATAACTATTTAATTACCTGGTATTGGTAGGGGACTTGGCACCAAACAATTACATTTTGATAGTGATCTCTTAACAAACTAATAGTTAATTATGTATCAAACTTCTCTCCAGAGGCTTTAGTTATTATTTTTGAAATTTTCGTTATAATCTTTGGCCAAATCAGTGGGATTATCTGTAAAATAAAGCACTCTTGGAAGCAAAAGGTCATCCGGACTTGGTCACTTTACATCATTTTCAAAACAGTGCTGCTGTAAAATAACATATGGCTCGGATATGTTTTATTCTAATTTAAATGGCACCCAAAAAACAACTATTGAACACCCCTTCATAATTGATCATTGTTTTCATTGACAATATCTACCTCCAAGCCATAAAAATACAACAAATATTTTAAAACTATTTATTCAAATCTAACGTTGATTGCTACATTATAATATTAAAATGATAATTTTAACAAAGACAGAAAAAACTTTAAATTACATTCTTAAGAACTGCGTTAAATTTATAAATGCAATTGATTAAATCATAAAATTTCTTAAATATTACAAGTACGCAATGACAAAAATTACATCTTAAAAGAATTTTTAAATTTCAGTAGTCAATGAATAATAATAACAATATTTATATACATGTGTACAATATACTTTAATTAAATTTGTACATTTGAAAAATGTTCCCATGTTTATTTATCTGTACTGTGTTCATACATGTATTTCATACAGTAACTATAGCCTCAAACAAATGTAGCTGAGACTTGAGTTTGCTGCCAATAAAATGTACCCTCTATCTAATCACTGTAGATGTCTAACTGTTCAGTCCAAAGTTATCATTTGTAATGATTAAACAGATACTTATGAAACAATCAGGAGTAAAGTCATCGAAAGATTTAAGGCAATTTCTGGGTGGGAAATTACTTGATACTAATAATAACAGACCTTAACAATGTCATAATTCAGTTTTTACTGGTACTTAGTTTACCACTGCTTTTAGGCAACTGAACTCAATAAAAATTCTGAACAATTAAAATAAGAAATATGCCTTGTCCTCTCACTTAATTTTATTTGTTAAGTATTTCAAAAATCATAAAATAAGCACAAAAAGTAAATATTCATTTTTAATTAGACTAGTAAGTGCAAAAAGATCACAACTGTGTACATATATAAATTTGAAAAAAAAAAAAAGACTTCTTACAGAGAGTAAGGAAATGTTTAATTTCAAGTAAGGCCACACTTTTTTATTTTTATGGATGACATCCTCTGGGTACCCCAAAATCGGTGCGAGAGGGCGAAAAAAAAAAAAAACTGCTTAAGTAAAGGAATGCTGTCAGTACACAGCTGGAAACACAAATTTAACCACAGAAACACGTATCAAACTAACAATATGTCTTAATCCATGCTCTCAAAATATTAAAGCATTGTGAATACTTCGTAGAAATGTAAAAAAAAGTCATGAATTGATATACTTCATATTACCAAATCTATTTAAGATTATTTCATGCATTCATTTGGTATAGCAATCAATAAAACAAATATCAATCAAACTGTGTGTCTTAATTTGTATTCTCAGAATATTAAAACATTTTGAACACTTCACAGAAATGTTTAAAAAATGATGCAAAGATATGCTTAATACTACCAAATCTACTAAAGGTCATTTCAGACGANGGAGAACGGGCGAAAATCCGTGCGCGCGCAGGATGTCATCCATAAAATTAAAAAAGTGTGGCCTAAATTATTATGAAACAATTTACTGCATATTACTTAAATACAATTGCTGCATGCAAATTTTATACTAAAACAATAAGATGAGCAAACATAACAAAAGACAGCAAAGCTGGCAAATATACACAGACACCAAACAAAGAATGAAACAAAATTTTCAAAACTATACATACATACTTGATAAAAATCAAATCATACTCATTTTGTGAATAAACTTGCCATTTTACAAAAAAGTCACTCAGCAAATTTGATGTAAAACAAAAATATGATTTGGTATTCATGGGGCACATGCAAAAAAAGACAAAATAGACGGCACACATACAGTCACTAAACAAATAAATTCAAAGAACAAGATTCAGTGACATCTAGCCAAAATAGATGGTGAAACAGTTTTTAAAATGTACTGTAAAGAAGAGCTTTTCCCATTACCAATGACCAAACAGTGGATATTTGTTTTTTATGAAGAGGCATCTTGTTTTCAGAAACATATGCTGAAGAAGAAAGTAAACAAACATGGAAAGCTGCTTAATCAACCTTATCCAATTTTCATGTGAAATGTCAAAGGCTGGAAATGTTAGCTGATAAAGGTAGATGTTTATTCTGTTTCCAGTCTCTTCTGGTTTTCTGAGGAATGAAAATACAAAACAGTTTTGCGTTCATTTTCAAAAAGATAGATATATAGAATACTTTCTGAATGCTGCAATAAAGTTGAAAAATTTTTTGCAGAATGAATTGTCTTTGTGGTACATGTATGTTCAATATACTTCAAATTGTCAAATCTTAAACATGACCTCAGGTTACAGATATCCATAATGGAATGAAAGTAATGGATCAGTGAACAATATTCCTGAACATGCACTGGTAATAAAAGTATGAATTTTGCATATTTGTTGATATTGATAACAATAAAAAAAAAAAAAACTACAATAAAACTTGGAGAAATGATTTGTCATATAACAGCATTTTTTTAGTATTCACTGCTTTATTCCAGTCTTAACTCATTTCTCTTCCCTGTCTTGCTTTCCAGACTTATCCTGTTGTACTTTTTACGGGGAATACTGCATCAATACTTAATAAATTTCATAGCTTTGTTTTTTATTTGCTATCATATAAGGAAGACTGAAGGGTACACCGAAGAGGAATAAAATATGATCCCAGAAAATGAGGAAGTTTTCATAGCATATGCCATGCTAATGGCAGACTAAGGGTTTCCTTGGACAAGAGAATTAATGGGACACTTTGCCAAGGGGATAGTGAAGCAAAGGGACGAAAGTGTAGAGATTTTGGTGTCAGATATATGGTGGTGGCACCTAAGACAAAGACACCCTGAGCTTTCTCTGCAAAAAATGTGATTAATTAATAGATTTTTGTAAATAATAATAATAATTATCATTGCAATTTTGTTTTATTTGATCCTAAAATGTTCACAAT